CCAAAAGCCTCTTATACGGGTAACAGGCCAATCGTTAGCCGCCACGTGGGAATAATTTAAAACTAGCCAATAGCGGGGAACGAATTTGCATATGGGTGGCGGGAACTCTTTTGCACCGTGCATTTCTCTTGCAACTTGAGCAATGCACCCTGCAAAAGAAGCTGCAAAGAGGCGGGAAACTCGTCCCTGCACTGGGGTTCTCCTCTGCAATAGGAAACTCTCCCGTGCAATGAAGTTGCAACCTGGTGGGGATAATTCTGGTGCCGAAGCACACACAAAATCATGCCTTTGGGTCATGACAACGACGACAGGCTGAGAGCTATGGGGCTCTTTAGCCTGGAAAAGTGGAGGCTCAGGGGTGATCTGATGGCCACCTATAAGTTTATCAGGGGTGACCACCAGTATCTGGGGGAAAGTTTGTTCACCAGAGCGCCCCAAGGGATGACGAGGTCAAATGGTTATAAACTACTGCAAGACCGTTTCAGGCTGGACATAAGGAAGAATTTCTTTACTGTCCGAGCCCCCAAGGTCTGGACTAGCCTGCCATCAGAAGTGGTTCAAGCACTTACATTGAACACCTTCAAGAGAAATTTGGATTCTTATCTTGCTGGGATCCTATGACCTCAGCTGACTTCCTGCCCCTGGGCAGGGGGCTGGACTCAATTGATCTTCCGAGGTCCCTTCCAGCCCTAATGTCTATGAAATCTATGGGGTGGAAAAAAACCTCCAAGCAAAATAAATTGAATCTCTAGCAAGGCAAGGCAGAGGTCCAAAGGAGTACCTACAATACAAAGAACAGATGGTGGGAACACCAGGCAAAGGAGATTTAACATCTTGCTGGTATCCACAAGATACGTGGTTATTTTTAATGTGACCCAAAGCTATCTACAGTCTGAGCACTCAAGGACCAAACCCCTTGAGACCTAAGACTGGAAGAGACCTGATCAAGGAATGGGGAGCCATCAGTGCCCATTGGAAGGAGCATTTTGAAGACCTCCTCAATTAAGACACTGTTGTTGATGAGAGGTGTTCTCCACTCCATCCCACAACACCCAGTCAAAGAGTATCTTGGAATCCCTCCAACCCTTGATGAGGTGAGGAAATTCATCAAGCAGGCCACTGGAGTTGATAGAATCCCTGCTGAAATCTTCAAGCAGGGGTTGGGGGGCAGGGGCAGAGAGGAGCTCACGTCACAGCTCCATGCCTTCCTCACCATTCCAAATCTTTAAGATGAAGTGCCAGGTGACCTTAGGACTACCATGATCATGACAAGAAAGGCGACAGGTCTGACTATGGAAACTACAGAGGGATCACCTTGCTATCCACCACAGGAAAGCTTATTGCAAGAACCCTCCTGAACTGTTTCCTTCCACTTGATGAAGAGCTCCTCCTGGAATCTCAGTGTGGATTTAGGGCATTAAAAAGCACAACTGATATGATCTTCACAGCTCACCAGCTGCAGGAAAAATGCTGGGAACAACATAAACCTCTCTACATGGCCTTCTTTGACCTCACAAAAGCCTTCAGCTCTGTCAACCAAGAAGCGCTATGGAGGATCCTTCTGAGATCCCACTGAAATTCATCACCCTTCTTTGCCTGCTACATGAGTGGTTTTCAGTAACGGATCTATCACTGCTTGAGGTTAAGATGGGAGTTAAGCAAGGCTGCATCATCACTCCAACACTGTTCTTGATTTATTCCTTGTCATGATGCTACATCTGACTACCACCAAGCTTCCAGCCAGAGTAGAGCTAAACTACCAAATGGATGGTAAACTGTTTTTAATCCCAGTCAACTCTGAGCCAAAACCAAGACCAATCGAGCTTAATCCTCAAGCTGCAGCATGCTGCTGATGCTATAGTCTGCGCTCACTCGGAAGCAGACCTTCAGGCAATTGTCAACATCATTACGGAGGCATACAAGAAAGTGGGACTGAAGCTTAGCATTCAAAAGACTAAGGTCGTCCAACAACAAGCTCTTAATAGTAATTCAGATTCATGAGAATGTTGAGTATTTCCTGTACCTCAGAAGCATTTTCATGTCAACCTCCTGTATTTCTTGTCACAGGAGGTTGACATGAAAGAAATCCAACATCACCTCAAATGTGCAAATGCAGCCTTTGGATGCACTTAAGGAAACAGGTGTTCAAAGACTGTGTCATCAGATCCAAAACCAAGCTCATGGTTTATCAATCAGTTATGATCCCCACCTTTTTTGTACAGAGCTGAGACTTGTGTGGACAATGTAGAGGAGACTCCTCAAGTCATTGGAGAAATATAATCAATGCTGCCTGCAGAAGATCCTTCAAATCCAGTGGGAAGATGGACCGCACCAACATTTTCTGGCATCCTCTCGCAAGCAAATACTATGAGTACTGAAGTGATGATCATCTGACACAAACTTTGTTGGGCCAGCCACATAATTTGGATGTCTGACGCTTGATTCCCAAAGCAAGTTTTATTCTCTGAGCTCAGTCAAGGCATATGCTCAAAAGGAGGGCAGAGAAAGTGCTTCAAGGACGTCCTCAAGGCCAACTTGGAAAAAATGCAACATTAGCAGCAGCTCATGGGGAAACTATTGCCTAGGACCTCCCCAAATGGAGGAAGAGTTTGCTGCAAGAATCTCAATACTTTGAAACCTTACGACAACAGGAGATGGAAAAGTGGGAGTGGCAGAAACAGTGCATCACAGACAGAATCAAGAATCTGGAGCCACCTACCCCATGCAGAAACACATGCCTGAGTTGTGACAGTCTGTTGATCCTGCATTGGCCATCTTCAGACCCACAGATGAGATATTAATGGAAGACGGCTGTCCTTGACTGCGATGGATTGCTGAAGAAGGGGACATGGTTCTGGCCCTCTACCTAGGAGCTCTTGAGCATATATTAATATTTCATGAAAGTGGGACGTTGGCTGCTGTGGTTCCCCTGCTTTACCTGGGGCTGGTTAGGGTGTTAGGTCAGGATTGACAGTAGTCTTGTGTACATGGAGTTTAGTTTTTGGATCGTATGGGATAGTTGGATACAGATGATCCTGCCTCAGGCAAGGGGTTGGCCTAAATGACCTCTGGAGGTCCCTTCTTCTGTATGTGTGTACGTCTGTGTATGTGTGTCTAAAATAGCTGCATCTTAGTTGGGATATAAGGCATACCTTTCTTGAATTCAAATCACTCATTCCTTCCTACATAGCTTTCTTCTGTCCTGTCATAGTATCTGATGGAGTGAGCTTGATTTAATGAAAGCTCTGAGTAGAAAAGGGATAGGCCTTGCATCTTTGCATATAAAGTACACCTCTGCTCTGCCTTTGGCCTGACTTGAGACTAAAGATGACTCTGCTCAAGGAGTTAACTTGATGTCTTCCTGCAGGCTGCAGTTAGCTGCTGCTGCCTCCTACCCCTAGCCATACTGCTGGCCTGTGCAGCACTAACCTCTTTAAAAAAAAGAAAAAGGGTGTTTTTTTTTTTTTTTGGGGGGGGGGGGGGGCGCAGAAGAGAAAACAAGTAAGCTGCCCCACGGGGCCTCTCATGCTGGTGGCTTTGCCTCAGGCCCTTCCTCTCTCCAGCTTTGCTGAACACCAACAAGTCTGCAGGACTGGGCTTGGCTCATTTCTCAACCCACCAGTCACAACCCAAAAGCGGGTCGCAAGAAAGGGTTGCAAACAGACTTTAAAAACGGAGTCTCCTTCAAAGGAGAAAAAAACATGGGACACCATGGATTTTTTCCCTTGCAGGCTGGCAGAGATCCAGCCAGCAAGGGGCTACTTGCCCCTCTCCCCAGCCACCCTACACAGTCGGGGAGCAGCGGGTCCAGAGTGAGGGGCACTGGGTCGGGCCTGGCCATGCATGTTTACAAGTGGGTCCTGGTACAAAGCCTGCTGAGAATCACTGCTCCTGGGCGCCAGGGCCCTCATCCCATGTGAGGGGAAGGGAGGGGAGGGGAGGGGGGCTTCATGGGCTACAGGCTTCTAAGGGCTGGAGGTGCTGCGCTCCATGGCGCTACCCCATGCTCGCACCCCGCCTCACGGCTCAGGCCTGCACCTTGCAGCCTACAGCAGAGGCCAACCGCGCAGGCCCCGCAAGAGCTGGAGGGGGCGGGGCCAGAGCCCGGAAGCTAGCAGCCTGCGGCACGGGGCAGCCCTGACGCTCTCCCCCACGCCGCGCAGGGAAGCAAACTACGAGTCCCAGGATGCTGTGCGGCCGGACTGAGCGTTCCTTCCGCTGTTGGCGTTTGCAAAGCAATCTGCCTGGCGATTGGCGGGCGCGCGGGGGCCGGCGGCCAACCAGCTGCCCCGATGTATTGGGGACAGTAAAGCTAAGGGTGCCCGAGGTCCCGCCATGTGAGTGCAGCGGGCCGGGCCTGGCAGGGTGGGGAGCCCTCGGGGCGCAGGATCCCGGCGATGGCGGCCACGGAGCAGGAGCAGGGCGAAGTAAGGGGCGGCCACGGGGCTGGGGCTGGGGCTGGGCTCGGGCCCCCTTGGAAGGAGAGCGGGGCTCCCCGGGGGCGGGGCGTGGAGCCCTGCGTCACAATCGCTGCCGCGGAGATTCCACGGTCCCGCGGGGCGTGGGACGTGGAACCCTGCGTCACAATGCCACGGCGGAACCAGCCCCCCCCCCCCGGGGCTCTCGGCCCCCCCCCCCCCCCCCCGGGGTTCTTCCCCGACAGAGACCCAGCGAGGCCCTTGGGAGCCCTGGGCTTCCCCCGTGTCTGGGAGGCCCTGGCGGCAGGGGACAGGAGCCCTCTCTTGTCCTGGGGCTGCGCAGGACGAGCCTTGGGTGCAAACAACTGGCACTAGGAGATGGATCCGTGCGCTGGGCCCCTGCTCCCCTTTACACGTGTGACACAGATGATGGGTGAACTGCACAATAAATATGGTGCAAAGTAACACTCGTGCCATCAAAATGGCCATCCTATAAGAACAGCCACTTACCGGGTCAGACGTCTTGCCCAGGGTCCTGCATACTGTATCCTTGCCCAGTCTCTTGGGTCCATGTGGGCACCAACATGTGGATAAGGGTAGCAGGGAGGTCCTGGGACCTAAACTTAGGCAGCTAGGTAAGAGATTGAAGTCCAGGACCTCTGAAAAGCTTCTGGTGCCATGCCTGGGGCCAGATAGGCAGGCAGAGCTCCAGTCTCCTGCTGTGAAAGAGCCAACCTGCTCCCAGGGTAGTGCTTGACAGCTCCATAGCTGGTTTCTATCCAGCTTTCATATGAACACACAGCAGGCCCTGTGTTCTGTGGCTGTTCTGCTGTTGCTCCTCTGGGCAGCAGAAAGATGCCCGGGCTCAATGACCAGCGCTAAAGAAAATCTCATGCCACTGCAAGCACCGCACAGGAGAGAGATCTCGTGGGTACAGAGCAGTAGGGCTGCTGGCAGTGCTGACTGGTGGTGATGTTTCCTTGCCGGCTGCTGCTGCTGCTGTGAGCTCCTTTCTCCCTGTGACTGCATGTCTGTGCTTCTGCTCTTCTCTCCCTTGCCCCTCTCATTGCTGAGCCTCAGTGTCTGTGCATGAGCTCTTGGCAACAGCATATCTCCTAACTTCCTTAATCTGTGTCCAAAGCACAGCTAATCACTCTTCCTTCTCCCCTCCATCTTAAAGACAGGCCTTTTGTGCATCCCCTGATTTGCTGTCCCTGTACTCTTGCATCTCTTTGCTGTATGGATATAGCTGTACAAATAGATCATGATGAAATCACAGGGGGGAAAGGACTTTGACTGATACTTATTTAATACTTGAAAATGAAAGTTGTCTGTTTTTCCAGTGCAGCTCCTGAGCCAAAGTCAGCCCAGGGAATGTGATGGTAATAGAGTGTACAGCTTTTACTTTGTTAGAAAATGCACCTCCTTGCTTCAAGGCCATTTTTTGATCCACTGTGTCCCAAGCTGTATTGGGGAGGGTTAAATAGCATGGAGAGCAGCAGCTAGTTACTGAAATAGATCATTTGTGCTGACAGCTCCTCTCCCTGCTGGGCCACCCTGGTGACAGCACAAAAAATGTTTTCTAGCGGGTGTGAAGAAGTGCAACCACTGAACAGGAAAGTGAGTGAAAAGGGGTAGTCTCTCTCCTTCCCTATGAATTCATACTGACCCCTCCCCACTCAGGATGGTTTCAGGCATTCTGGCTTCTCGCTCCTGGGTCACAGAATCATAGAAAAGTAAGGCTGGATGGGACCTCTGAAGGTCTTCTAGTCCAACCCCCTGCCCTATCCAAACCATCTGGTACAAATCCTTGTCTAACCTGTTACTAGAAGTACACAACCCTGTTGCACAACCACAATGCACAGCACCTTAACCTGCCACAGGTAACGCAGGGGAACAAGGGTGGTCCAGTGTCCTGTTGCAAGGGTTGTTAACATGCTCAAGAGATCCTAGGAAGAGGGCCACACGCCTGCTACAGAGGAAGGCCAGAACTCCCCCAGCCCATGCCAGTCAGGCCATGGGATAAAATTCCTTCCTGATCCCAAATGTGATCATTGGTCTGGCCTGGTGTGGAGGGGCAAGACCCTCTAGCGAGGAACCTCCAACTATTTATTAGTCCCAGTAGGAGCATTGGTACACCCAAGTAAAAATACCAAGCCTTGGCTGCAGCCACCTCCTTATGCTTGTGAGGAAGGCAAAAAGAAAATTCCCTGAACAGGTGCAGTAGCAACAGAAGTGGGGAAATAAATTCCTTCCTGGCTTCATGCAGTAACCAGTGAAGCCCAGAAACATGGGAAATAACTATAGCGAGCATAGGCATAGCTATTTCTAGATTGTTCCTGATTCATGCTTATCCAAACTCTTGAAAACCTCCAATGATGGAGATCCCACAATTCCCTAGATGGTCTATTTTACTGCCTCAGTGCTTTAACAAGTAATTCTTCCTGATATTTAATCTAAACCTACTTTGCTGCAGCTATAAGCCATTGGTCTGCCTCCTGCTCTCTGCTTCCAGTGTCTTTCCTGTGGTTGCCCTTCTGTGACTATGAATCTTCTTTTCGTCTGGGAGAGATGTGTACGAGGGGTAAAACATTAAGGAAATGTGGAGCTGGTGGGAATTCTTCCTACCAGGGAAGCTAGTGCTGGCTCAAGGGTCTGGTCCTGGTACCCTGTGATTGCCACAGCCAGTGACTTGCTCCTGAGGGCCAGGCTTTACTGCATAAGGCAGGGATGGGGAACGTCCGGCCTGTGGGCTGGATCCAATCAGCCAGGGACTCCATTTCCCAGCCGCCCCTGCCCAGATGGCTTATACCAGTCTTTATGGAGACCTCTCACGCCAGCAGCGTATGCGGCAGACAGCACAGGGGGCTGCTCCATTGCTGCCAGGAACGTGGGATGGGGGCAGCTTCCTGCGGAGCTGCGATCTGTAGCCTGCTGCAAGGAGCTGGGGCAGAGCCACGATCCCCTGGATGTGTGCCTCTGCACAGAACGTGCAGGCTACAAATCATGGCTCCGCAGCAAGCTGCCCCCGTCCCACATTCCCAGCAGCTCTGCTGGCATGGCTGAGGGCTCCACGGAGACCGGCACAAGCCATGTGGGCAGGGGGGGCTGGGAAATGGAGTCCCTGGCCGATCGGCAGTCCGGAGTTTCATCATCCCTGGCATAAGGGAACGCTGAAAATCTGTCTTTTAAAGTGGTCGTTTCTTTGTCAGTTGGTGTCTTCCCTCAGCCAGAAGACCTCCTCCTTGGAGCGGGTGGGAGAGGAGGAAGAGGAGGAGGAAGAAGACGATGACCTGGACCTCTTTGGGGGTTACGACAGCTTCCGGGGTTACAACAGCAGCATGGGCAGTGACAGCAGCACCTACTTCGATGATTCTAGCAATGATGACATGGTCAACCGGGAAGCTGGGGAGCTGTCCACCTCCCCTCTGCCACTGCACACACCCACCACCCCAGGCCGGATGATGGAGGACAGTGGCTCTGAACCAGGTACCACCGCACAGCATAGAGTTGCTAGAAGCAGATAAGGACCCATTTCAAAGTAGTGCACTGCTGAAAGATGTATGGTGGTGTAGCATAACGTGTGTGCTTTGGAGGCAGAGCTGCACAGTGTATATTCTCCACTCCCAAGTTGCATCAAGTGGGGCCCAGGGTTCTGCCAGGAGTAAACATCAGTCAGTGTTCACTGGTGCTGCAGCATTGTTGGCTTGAGCTTTGTCCTGGCAGGGCTGGTGAAGCCCCCACTGTTCACGGTCTGTCTGCCTCTCCTCTAGCTGTGTGTGAGATGTGCGGGATTGTGGGCACGCGAGAAGCTTTCTTCTCCAAGACCAAACGCTTCTGCAGTGTCTCCTGCTCCAGGAGCTACTCCTCCAACTCGAAGAAAGCCAGCATCCTGGCAAGGTTGCAGGTGAGTGACACCTGTGCTGTTTCCTTCCTAGGCAAAAGTAGCAACCATTTTGCTGTCATAGACTAGATCAGGGGAGGGCCACTTAAGGAGTTTTAATGAGATGTCAAGGGTCGCACACGCAAAATCTTTCAGAAGGAATCATTTTAACAAATTATAAATTTAAAAAAATCATATGCTAAAATCAAACAATTACTAGAATATATTTTAATTTTATTTCAAAAAAATAATTTTTGTCCTGATTTTATGTTTTTTTGAGTAGTGTGTGTATATAGTGTATAGCTTAAAATAAAGTCTTACTCTTGTATATTGTGGGAGGGGGGGCAGTGGGGGAATGTGTGGGAGGGAGAGGTG